AAAAAAAAAAAAGTAAAAGGGACACTGAATCAAGTCAGCCCCTGACAAATGCAGCACTTTTCATGAAAGCATGCAATTATTCTACATTCATCGATGCAAGTCATCATCAGCAACACAATTCATGGGCAAAGTTCCCAGTAAAAGATCAGATCTTGATTACAATAAACACCCCCCCAATTTAAAAGAACAAAACTCAATCACAGATCCAAATCAAGGGAATCGTAAACAACAAAAATGAAGCAAATTTGGAGAATAAGGTTAAAGAACAGCACCTCAATTCGTACCTCAAGAAAAGAACTAGAGGAATAACTGCTCCATACATGAGCCTCGATCCCTCGTCGTCTTGGTTTTGAACCTGCGGCAACTGCTAACAAATGGAGAGAGAAACTGAGATGGGTTAATCAAATCTACAACTCTTATTATGAAACTGATTGGGGGCACAGGCATAGCATCTCTCAAAATCTTGGACTTTTATTGGGAGATGCAGTACTGGGACTGGATGCAGCGGTCAAACTGAAAATTTTTATTGTAGAACTTTTTTTCTATATAATTATTAAGTATATACTTACTTAACCAGTAATCTCTATTCCCTAGTCACTATTTTAGTTTTGTTTCAACTTATTATATAGTTTGATTGCTTTTATGTTTTTGGGGTGTGTGTGGCATTTGTACTTATCTGAATTAATTTGATTATATATTAGATAGGGAGAGATAAATAATTGTCCACAAAGTGTAAGCATGAATTAATTTGATTATATTAGATAGGGAGAGAGAAATAATTGTCCACAAAGTGTAAGTGACATGTTGGGCTGCATCTATCAACTGTGAGCTGTCCTTTCAGAATTTGTATATGTGCATTTTTACATGTATAAATAATATAAATAAACTATTATAAATTATTTTTATATATAATATTAAAAATATAAGTTATATAATGGTATAAAAATTGAAATACTTTGTCATGTCCTAAAAAATAATATTCAATAAAAATTGTAACGGTCATGTCCTAAAAAATAATATAATTGCACTCGTTAATTTGATAAGTAAAATAATATTTTTTTATGTACTCATTACAATATTGTAACTATATGTATTCTTTCAGTACATCAATTTTTTTTGTTTGTAGCAATTCATTTTTAGGATTTTCTTCTCTATATGAGAACCCTAGTTCCCCTTTTCGGATGATCGTTTCTTCTTCTATTTCTTTCCTCTTAATAATGTTGTGGTTTGTATATGCCATTAGATCTAAATTTTCTTCTGCATCTTAGGGGTGTTTCCTTGCTTTTTGTTCTTACAGTTTCTTTCATATGGGTTGCTTGTGTCCGTCGAGGTTGTGAGATTTCATGCCGTTTAGGTAATTGCGATCAGTAGATCTGGTGGTATGGAGCAAGACTTAGCAGAACAACTGAAGAAATTTGTCCTCTCAGACAAAGAGGAACAAAGCGTCACACTCTCTGAGGATGATGTGGAGGATGGTCTGAAAGACTGTAGTAGGAGCTTAATCGGGAAAGTCTATTGTGACAGGGCTTAAGACCACCCACAGTAGCATCTGGATTACTCGACACCCGTTCTCGATTAGGAATCTAGGTTCAAATCTTTTCCAATTCATATTTCAAAATGGGGAAGACAAAGAAAAATCCTGCAAGGCAAGGCATGGACGTTTGATGGGCAATACCTACTCTTGAAGATTTGGAACCCTAACTGCGCAGAATTTGCATCGGAAGAGGAAAAAGTGAACCTATGGGTGGAGATACACAATCTACCTCTTCACTGGCTATCTGCGAAGGCTGATCTTAAGATTGGAAAGATGTTGGGTTGGTGGTGGATGTGGTAGTGCCAGGAGTAAGCAGCGCCCATGGCAGAATCATTAAGGTCTTGGTTGAGATTAGGCTGGTTGATCCCTTTCTAAGAGGTACTTTGATAAAGCTTGGTCAGGAGAATAAGTGGGTAGAATTCAGGTACGAAAATCTCCAAAACTTCTGGTTTTACTGTGGTAAGATAGATCATGGGGATAGAGGTTGTGCGATAAAAAAAGTTGATGTGGCTAGAATTAGTCTTAACCTAGGTCAATATGGGGAATGGTTAAGAGCCAGTAGTACCTTTCTTTTTGAGTCTAGGTCCTCTAAAGTTAGTTCTGATGACAGTGTTTCTTGAGATAAGACCTGATAATCTTCAGGTTTCTCTGTCTGAGGAGGGTGTGGATAGAGTTAATCTTGTGAACTCTGGTTTTAGACATGATGGGAGTAACTCAGATCATGGGACTAAGGCGGGGTCTGTGGGGGAAGCTAGTGGAAGTAGTCCTGTGGGTTTGACTTGGTTGTTGATACGCCTGCTTCTGGGGTTAACATTGTGGAAGTTCAGAACCCAATGCATGACCACTCAAACTTAATAGAGGTGGATGTGCAAATGAGGCAGGATAACCCTATGGATTAAGAAACATAGAGCTTTGTTAGAAGGACTAGATTATCTCAGAAAAAAGAAAGCATGTTAATTGATAATAAAGTGTTCTTTGAAATTGAGTCCAATTCAGGTGTGCTTCTTAATAAAAGAACTTTGATTATTAAAGATGATATTGATGGTCTAGATAATCAGGTGGAGTCCCAAAAATTTTACAATTTCTCAGTCAGGTAATGTTTCTAAGGTGGAGGTAGCCAGCCATAAATGGTCCCACAGTAATTAATGAGAGTATGTGCGTAGAATTGTAGAGTTTTGGGAGGTCCCTCTACAATTTCCCAGGTGCGAGAGTCTTTTAGAGCTCATTTCCCCGATTTCATTTTTTAGCTGAAATTAAGAAAAAAAAAAGAAAATTTGTTATCACTGTCTGTAAAAATCTAAAATTAGATAATAGATGGTGTTATGTTGATCATACAGGTACTAGAGGTGGTCTGCTTTTGAGTTGGTCCAATAGGATTAATATTATTAGTCTTAATTGCTATTACTTTTGTTTAGAAGTCCAATTTTCTTTGGTAGGCAGTTCCCTAGTTCAATTGGGTATTTTCATGTATGACAGTGTTGGTGCCTCAATCAGGCAGATACAATGGAACTTTCTTATTAGACATAACCTTAGGTGGGGTAAGTTTTGGTTTTTATGTGGTGATTTCAATGATATTTTGTGCAAATCTGAAAAAGCTGGGGGTAGGATTAGAAAGAAGGCTAGTTTTGCTAATTTTAGAAGTATGGTTAGTGGTCTTAATGTGCTAGAACCTAGAGTCATTGGTCAAAAGTTTACTTGGGCTAAAAATAGAAGGGGTATTGGTTTTGTTGAGGTCAAGTTGGATAGGTATTTTGTTTCCCCTGACTGGCGCTTTCAATTCCCCAATTCTCAGGTTAAGACTATTCCATTGTCTTCCTCTGATCATAGTATGATCTTCTTAAACAAATATTAAACATGGAATTATATATTAGTGCGCTCGACTAAAAGGTTTGAAGATGCTCGACCATGTGAAGAGGAAGTTTTGAACTAGCTTATCTTCCGTCTATCGATCCATACAATAACGTTTTATTTGATTGATAATCAAATAAACCAGACGCTATTTTAGCCATTTGCATCAAGCTCACACTTCCTTCTTGCATGCGCGCCCCTCTGGAAGCACACACTATAATAAGAGGGGTTGCTTTCTTGCTTCCAAAGTATAACGGGTTCTCGATACTAAGTAATTTTTTGTTTAACAACAAAAATAGATGCCAAGTGCCTGATCGAATTGATCATGTAATCAATGTCATTCCAATATAAAATGACAAATTCATTTGACATGAATTTTCAACATGGTAGTTTCATACTAGCAGCTGTGAGTATAGGATCACAAGATTACCTAAGAACTAGTACTGGGTCAGAGGTTGAAGGACTTGATAATATTTGTCTTAATAAAGAGACTGAAACAAGTAAAGAAGTTGGGCTAAAAAGATGTGTCAAATTGTCTGCAATATATGGACACAAGACGAGGATGTGTTGCTTTGCTGAGCTTTTTGCACTATCTCTATTTATCCGATTGTTGGTCCTCAACAAAGTTCGAAGGGCTTTTGGAGGCAAATTAATC